TTTTTATTTTATTTCTTTGCTGTCCAGCATCAGCCTTTTGCAGTGTTACATGACTTGCACATGAATGTGTGCATCAGTGTGACAAAGAGCACAGACACTGTCATCTACCATTCCTCTAAAGGGAAGTATTTGTGTTCTGATTTGCTCAGGGCAGCACTGGTAACCTAGATCTCTTAGGGGTTTTGTTGATGACCTGTTATGTTAGAAAATATTTCCCCACTTTATAGATGGTGACAGAGAAGTGCCTCGTGTTTAAAATCTTTAGTCAATTCGAAAATCACAGAGCCAGAAGTTGAAACAAATCTTCCTTAATCTAACCCAAATCTTTCATTAAATTATTTCCTTACTTTGGTTAATTCAACATATTTTCATTATTTAGCTTAGGGAAGAATGAATTTTTCAAGTGTCTCTGAATTTACTTTATTTATTACGTTTAAAAATAGAATTAGCTTTTAAAAAATGATGTTCATATGTCCTAATCAGCAGAGCTTAGTTTTTCTTCCCACATGTTGAACACTCTAACAGCATAGAGTTTATTTTCCTGAAAGTACAACATAAAAAAAAAAAAAAAGACTTGTTTTGGAAGAATGATATTCCATAGAACACCCACCTTGATGTAACTGTGGAAAACAGATCTCAGCTGCCACTTATCTGCATTCAAGGTCAATTCAAAACAGAAGAGATTAAGTTTATCTCCTTCTTCACAGTTGATGTAGGTCAGCCGTCCATACACCACCACTTCCATCTTCCCTGTATCATCTTGTATCTCATAATAAGTGCAATCTTCCCTCACATTTTTCTGCAAAAGATTATTAACATTCATCTTCTGAGAAATGTATCAGGAATTCTTACATATTTGACAAATATAGGCTATAAATGAAAACGTTTATCTCTGACAAGGTAAATAGATCTGAAGTTTCTGAATCACAGGTAACAAAAACTTAAGGTATTTTCCACCGAACATCTCTCAGGCTTTCCTAATTTAATGTCTACATCTGTAAGGTTTTTCTAGAAAACCTTATCTTCCTAATCTGCACTGTTTCCACATAGGCACAGTCACTATAAAAATCTGATTACCTGTATAGGTTTCTTTGATACCTCCACAAGAAAAGAGAAGAAAGGTCATTTAAGGCTCCCTGGGTGAGGCTGAGGGAAACTATTACATTTCCTCATTAAGTAGATTGTTATCTCAATATACAATTTATTGTTTGTCTTCTTCATTGACTTGCTCTTCTCCAAATATTAAATCCAGATCATCTAGCCCCAATGTTTCTGGTCATATCTCCACTATATTTATTAGTTCTACAGCCACATATATTTGCACTATTGTTTAAACAGAAAACATCCCAGGTAAAAGAAAAAGAAAAAGTCGCCCTTATTTGGGTATGGTGGTGCATGCCTGTAATCCCAGCTGCTCTGGAGGTTGAGCTCAGAGGGTTACAAGTTCAAGGCCAGCCTAGTCAACTTGGTGAGGCCCTGTCTAAGTAGATAGATGATTGAAAGACAGACAGACAGGATTAGGAATGTAGCTCAGTGATTGATTAACCCTGGTCTATTTTAGTTGTTGTTCTCTTCACTACCAAAGAGAACAACAACAAAAATAGACCATCCTCAAAGACATACATAGCAGATTGACACACTTCCAACAAGCAGTTATCTCAGCTAAGGGTACTAAGTTGCACGGTGTATCAGGACTGAAAGACCCTAAGTCTAAGAATTCACCAAGCTTCTTTGCCAATTGAGGGGTCTCTGATTGAGACTATAGGTCTCTGATCTTTCAGCTTCTATGTTTCTCTTATGATTTAATGCAGAGGTCAGCTGCTCAACCATCTCTGAATGAAAAGTAATGAATGGGAAAAGGTGAGAGCCTTTTAAAGGGACAAGAGTCCAGCTGATCAGAATCTGAGGTCATTGTTAAATGTCACCACATCCTGGGGCAGAGTCATCTATTTGGTTTCTTACTATGTTTACCACAACCAGATCCAGATTTGGGAGGCCAACTCTTTATTTACAATTAAGTTGTCATTGATACCGATGGGGAAACCTCAAGCAAAATCCTAAGGATACATGTGTTGAGATGAACTGTAGGGTGTTATAGACCAGAGTGGCTATGAAAGTATCAGAATAGCTGTTAAAATGCCAAAGATTCTTGGTGAATCTCTTTCTGAAGAACTATCCTGGTGAGATCCTGTAAAGACAACTGTTCTGAAACTTACTGTGCCATACTCTGATGATGAAGTCTCCACTTCCCAATCCCTGATCAGTCAGGCCTTGATTTCCTCTGTTCAGTAAATTGAGTCGACTCCCGTCAACAAGTTAAGACTCTTAAAATCTGGGCTTGCAGAAGAAACTTTATGAAATAGTGCTGTGGCTTACCTTATACACCATGTACACCCCATTCACGTATTTTGTTGTGCTTCTTGAGCAAAGATACTCAATTTTAGGAGTTGCATTAGCATTTTTAATCAGTGTCTTTGAGATCTCCATCTTTCTGTCTGCGCTCACATGAGACACAGTTGAAGCACTGTATAGCTCCAGGAACCCGTTGCGGCCAATGTAATCGGATATGGCAATAACTGTCTTTGGGATGAATTTGTCCTTCAAGTTGATGTCGAAAACTTTCACTCGGAAGAATTCGCTCTCAGTGGCCACTGTAGCATGAAACATCTTCTTCCCGCCTTCTTTGAACTCATAAGTAAATGGTTCTGTTACTTTCAACACCACTACTTCTTTGGGGCCCTTCTGGTGACCACATTCTTCAGAGGCTTCTTTAGGTACAGTTTTCAATCTTGGATTCTACTTAGGAAATACACAGCAAAAACAGGCACCGTTAAGATAGGGTATCTTGGGTCACTATCTAGTGAGAGCTGACTCAGTGTTGATTCTCAAGGAACATCAAGAAGATTCTCAAGGTTGATCCTCAAGAAAACAGTACTTGGGCAGAACTGGGGGGAACTCTAGACAACACTAGCATAAATAGTATAATTTAGGTGGTGGAATAAATAAGAAGATTTAGGTAGTCATTTCACCGGCACTATCCTTACAGATTCGTAAACTAGTGTCCAATTTAACTCATTATGGAAGACGGAAGGGTAAGTGTTCACTTGTTAGAGTCTGTAAACAAGTCAGGATGGCGCCTGGCATTTTGCCAGGGGGAGTGGTTTGCGAAGTAACGCCAGCGAGCCATTAAGTGTGGAGATTCCTTATTGGTTGACTGATGTATCTAGTTTATGCTAATTAAGATAAGCTGTGTGGAATGTATAAATATCGCTCTGGTCCTACAATAAACGGCTCTCACTCCTGCTGTATCAATCTACGCAAGTTGCTTGTCCCCCCCCCCCCCCCCCCC